ACAGACTCCGCTCATTCGCGTGTGCCCAGCTTTGCTTTTCCAGCAACGCTGTGATAATCTCTCCCAAGGAAGAGACCCAGTTCTGGTTTACTTACAGACCAAGAAAACCTGGGCTTTTTTTTGCCAAAATGTTGTGAAGGATCAAGCAAGGACTTGATCCCTAAGTGAAGCTGATGCATCTGCATGGACTGGAGAGCTCATGAAAAGATGCTCCTGACTTCTACAGCTTTTCCTAGCAGCAGAGAGGCAACAGGTCACCAGGTCTCTCACTTGGTAGTCCCAAGTGCTGCGTTGGGTGTGGGCAGGACTTCACTTCTTGGTTCTCAGCTGCATATACATTGAATGAAATCCAGTCTGGCTGTGTGTCTTTGTCATGCACAACATCAGAAAGACCCAAAATTCAGCAGGCCAGTAGGAAATACATTCTAGCCCGCCAACCTGTCTTTAAGCTAAAAATACTTACCTAGCTTTCACCGGTAGTGCTATTACAGTACACGCAGTGGGTATATTCCCTTGCTGAACTGCATGCTTTTGCTGGTCAATATTATTTTTTCATTGCATTATGAACTGCAGAACATTATTAAAGGGCAGCACGAAAATTAGCTCTGGCGCGCAGCCCTGTTTGCTGAGTCTATATCGCAAACAAACAGCAATTGCTGCTGGGGACAAAAAACTTTTGATCACAAACCTACCAGGATCCAGAAGGCAAATTGGACAAGGCTCCTCTGCTGAAAATTTTAGCGATCTGTAAGTGTTCACGGGGGGACAGGCACTCTGTGACTGCTCAGCTATGAGAAAGCTATTTTTACGGCAAAGTAATTGCTTGCCAACTAACTGGAGGTAGTTAACATGTTTGTACAACCCCAAACATTTGTTCGGGGACTTAAATGGTTATGGGCTTGGTCCAGGGTTCACCTTGACCAACTACCACATGTTAGAGCTGTAACATGCCTCCTACACGCTGCAGGTATGCTCCTGCTTCCCCTTGTTTGACTGCTGTGGGGATGGGATTTTGCAGGGTGTTACCCGTCACGCCACAGCTATTACTCTTAGAAACGCGACCGTTCTGCCCAGGATAGAGCTCCCCCAGACATTTTGAGCCTAGCCTGGAAGCGAGCGGCAATGTGGATGAGGGAGGAAGGCTGCGGCGGGGAACAGGGCAACCCTCGGCTGTCACAGGGCTCTGCCAACAGCCGCCAGGTTAGCGTGAGGTGACATAGCTCGAGCAGAAATGACCTGCTGCGGTCATTGAGTCACCTGGTGAGGCGTGCGGATGGGATGCTTAAAAACGAAGTAGCCTCCTGGACGCAGGACAAATTGTTAAAATGTACAGAAACCTTCTTTCTAAACAACCGGGACTGAAGGCAGTATGTTGTCCCTGTCATTTGGGTCTTGCACAGGAGAGCAGCTGT